ACGGCCAGAAAGTGTATGAATATTCAATGTAATAATATCACGTTTTACTACTACATGCATCCAAACATACTGACATACACAGTGTATAAGTACATAACGATTAAAGCTGGGTAATAATTGATGATAATAAAGAGTGATCATTTAGTGTATTGTGATAGATTTGAATTCTGATGAAGTTCTATGATTAGAAATACATACACAATAATGTCCTATCAATTGATGTTAACAAGCACCTACTCAACTCAAAGTTTTGTACTCAGTATGTGATATGAGTCACAAATCTAACTATTTTTTCATTGAACTACAAGCAAACATAATATCATGATGCAGTGTCATCAAGAGATAAAATTAACTATCTCGTGATGGGCCAAAACGCACACACACAGACACACACAGTTCAATGCAGTTGGGTTAATTTTGGGGGGTTTATGGTTTTGTGCAGTGGAACCAGGGGAAGAATTGTTTTCACCGCTGCCACTTATAAGCGGCAACACGTGACGTTATTCATATGATCTAAACAACACACAAAAGCACTGTGGGGATCCATCCAACTTCTTCAATACATATTGTACATGACTTTGCCCCTTTGGTTCTGTTGTATTGTGTCTTTCACAGTTCTCTCATGAGGCTTTGTAGGAAATGCATATTGTTCCATGCATTGAAGAACGGAACACTCAAAACTTCAGATGAAAGCAACAGGTAGACAAATGCACACCTGAGATCCTCTCACTTTGAATGCTGAAGGAAAGCACTCGACCAAAGCAAACTTTGAAGACTTATGTTAAACGGGGTCGCCGTGCAGTCGCTGTCCAGAGGTCTGTGGTGCTGAAACGCTCAGCGGCTGCAATCGCGACGGAAACGTGGCAACGTGCGGTTTGGATTTCGTCCTCTTTTAGCTGTTCTGCTACATCAAGATTCGGACAAAATGCGACTTTGACTCCAATCCGATGCCCGATTTTCTATTTTTTTTTTTTTTTTTTTTACCGACGACTCGCTGTCCCCGATTCCGCGTGCAGCGCTGCCGGATGCGACAACCCTCCGATGCGCTACAGCAGCCGCCACACTTTCAACAACACGTGAAACACCCCCCCCCCCCCCAACCTCAGACACGGGGTGCACACGGCTATGCGTTCCAAACACACTGAAACCGTCCCTAAACAATCCGGGACACCTCAAATGTGAGAGGCGGGTTCTGCAAAAAGTACCGCACACAAAAAAAGAAAGAAAAGGGGCGCACAGACGCTATGAGACAACTACTTTTGTTATTGAAAAATACCAGGAACGCAAATAGTGATTGTTTTTTTGTTGTTGTCTCTAACGGCGTCTTGTGGAGTCTTTAATACGCTCGAGCACAAGTCGTGAGTCTGCAATGAGGCAGAGTCACATGAAACACTGGAAGGAAGCATGTGGCACAAATAGACCAATTCTTCAAAAACTCCGGCACAGCGGCGCACACACGCACGCACACACACACACACACACACACACACACACACACACACACACACACAGAGTTGGACCACATCAAGACACAGTACGGCATGCGGGGGATTCGGGGGGTGGGAGGGGGGGCACGTGTAACTTCAACTTCTTCTGCCATTCCCGGGTCGAAAACAACACAAACAATACACAGCACAGCACCACAGCCATAGGTTGAACTTAACACTTCTAACCTTCTATCTCATTTTCCATTGGTAGAGTCCACCCCAAAGCCAAAAGCACTGCTTCTTTTGTCTTTTAGGAGAAGCAGGTGTCATTCACAGGCATCCTGACCCAAAGAAGTCCCGCCAAAGATGCATTTCACTCAAATTGCAGTTTTGCCCCCCCACCACCCCAGACCCCCCCCCCCCCCAGCCTGACGGTCAGACCACTGCACGGTGTGACACGGAGAAAGAAGAAAAATATAAATCCTTGGAGTGGACTGAATCTCAACAGAGGACTCGTCAACAATAGAACAAAGTGAGGGAAGAGAGCGACGTGAGGAGAGAGAGAGAGAGAGAGAGAGAGAGAGAGAGAGAGAGAGAGAGAGAGAGAGAGAGGAGGAGGAGGACCGCTCACTACTCTTCTTCATCTAATAGCCCCCTCCTCCTCTTCACTTCTTTCAGCTCACACACACACACACACACACACACTTTCCTTGTGTTTCTAGTAGTCGCTGCCATCCCAGCCTGCAGTAAAAGGACAAACACCGAGACGTTGTGCGCACGTGCCGCCGGTAAACAGACGCCCTAGTTCCCGTTTTCCGCCTCCTCCTCCGTCTCCTCCGTCTCCTCCTCCTTCTTTGAGCTCCTAAAAGCTCGCCCCTTACCGCACTGTAACCATTCGTTTTTTGGTACGTTATATTAATAGCAGACCAAAAGAAGGGCTTCCGGTTAAATCGATGTGCTTGGCTCGACGCCGGTGGCTCTGAATCGGGTTCACCGGGCGCCCCGCGAGGAGTCTCCCCATCACCGGAGGAACCGGGACCGGGTTCGCCTTCCCGCGGGCCGGCGGCCGTCTCAAACTAAACCGTGCTCCGTTTGCGGTAGTTTACGATGTTTACCCAAACACGCCCACTCCTCCGCTCCCGCAGTGTGTGCGTGCGTGTGCGTGCGTGTGTCAGCCGTTTGTCACGCCGGTGTAGTTCAGCTCGGAGTCAGTACCGGCAATGCGCACCGTGGCGCACTAACAGACACTAATTTGGCGCTTCGCAGCGAACCTCCACCGCGCTCGCGTCGTGGGGTCCGCAGCTCGGGGACTCTTTGGGGCGCACGATGAGCGCTCTGCGGCTCCGACAGATTTGTTTTTCTCTTCTTCTCCCCTCTCCCTTCTGTCCTGCCCATGGCTCCGTACCTGCAGTGCTGCAGAGAAAAGCGCCCCTTCCCCCACTCTGCATTATGACAAATCAAGGGAGGCGGGCAGCTGTGCCATTAGCACATCACAGCAGAGCGAGTCTTCCGCGGGAGAACAGACCCGCAGAGCTTGCGGACTAAATAGCTGCACGCACACGGCGCGTAATGTCGGCCGGCTGTATTGACTCTGGGGGACTGGCCGTATAGGGGGTTAATGAAACCAAAGGAGGGTTCTGAGAGGGTCCAGACTAACTGTCTTGTAGCTGTCATTGTCCCGTTGGACGCGCTTGTTGCCTCTGGACATTTTCACCGTGGACATTATCGATGGCGCACGTTCCCGGGGATGCTTATCCGGTAATAGTGGGAATGGAAATTCCTTGTAAAGTTTGAAGTGAGCTTCCGAGTCGCTGTCCACGGCACTGTGGTTCTGAAGCTCGCGCACGTGCTGTAGCCACAAGTGTCTGATGGACCCCAGAAGAACAGTTTACAAGCAACGATGCATCATGTGTGTGATTGGCACACATGAGTCCGAACAACAACAGCAACACGCCTCACATCTTGCGATACACTCACACTGTCTCTCACACAAACAAACACACACACACACACAGAAACTCACAGTTTCCTCACACCTTAATATGATATTACAGTTTTTATACACAGGTATGGAACAAAGCATGCACACGTATACATGTTATGTATTATGCATTTTCACCTTTTTGTGTTGATTTGTGAATATTGCAAATTTCCACTTTTGTCCAGTCCGTAGCTGGATGCAACAACAGTAAATCACTCTGAAATCCTGCAGAACCTCACAGGTGAAAAATCCCATCGCAGTCAATGACCTCTGTGGGTATGCGTGTCCTCTTCGCCCTCAAATAGGAACACCACAGACCGCCGTGAGACAACACAGTGAGCGATGGCGGGGAAGGGGTTAATGTAAGTAAGGTAATAGGGTGGGCTGTGTTTTCCCTGAGACAGTCAGCTCCTCCTTAACTGGTTCTGTGAATGGGCCAGTGAGGCAGTAGGGTATGAATGGAGGAGGGATCCACTGGTACCGCTGTGGATGGGAGCCGCCAGCTCTCCATTACTCACTCCCGCTTCCTCAAGGGCCGTCTGCAATGCAGCTGTCCTGTGAGCCTGTGCCTCACTGTGCCCTACTTTATCCTGTCAATGCTGAAGCACTGCAGCAACGCTTCCCCAGCAGCACACGCACCCACACACGCACGCACACACACAGAAAAACACACACACACACACACACACACACACACACAGGCCACTTACATTCTGGTGAACAGGTCTTCTAACTCACAGCCTTCATCTGAATTTAAACAGAATGGAAATTTGCCAACCCTGCACCATTTGTTGTTGTATGTAGAAGCTCTGTACACAATCTGTTTTTACTGAAAGGGGATCACACTAACAATTCCAGCACAATTCACAGGGTAGCATGAAAACCAATGACAATTGGTTTTCATGTCATTGGTATTTGTCATTTCATTTGCACTGTCGTTAACACAATGGATTTCCCACTGGCTGATTGAAGCAAGCAAGATGAGACAATGAGGCGTTGACCTTAAAATGACCCTTTAAATACGACATGTGGTATTTCCTCTCCACGTCTCATGAAAACAACAACATGAAATGCCTCATTCAACACATCCAAGACTTCGTAATAACATGCAAAGTCAGTTGATTTATAATAATAATGATCTGTCCGACATAATTACATTGGGCAACTCTTCACACAATTAGTCAGTGCTCATTAATGTGGACAACCACATTTTGTTTGTAACTACTCTCCATAGTTCTGTAGTTGATACCAACAAAAGGTTCTGACGGTTCACTCGTTCTCTACACCCACTGAGTAGGAGCAGCCAAATAAAGGGATTTCCCATGGCCTTTAACATTACGATCACAGTGCATCTTCAAGCCGTTTCTTAGACATTCACAAGGCCGATCTCTGTGAGAAGCTTTCTAATGCATGATGGTCCATTAATCAAAATAAACAAAATCAATAAGGCCGCTAGAGATCTGCAAGGCCAAATAGAAGAAGTGGGAGTTACATGACGGAGTAATGAGTAAATAGAAAAGAGAGGAAGAAAAAGGAAGGAGGAGGGATGGAAAGAGGGGCCCAGGCTGGCGTAAAACTGAGGAGAGACGTACCATCCAGCGAGAGCCAGTCGTGCTGAGATGACGGCAGCGACGGAAGAGCACGCGCCTTGTACTCAAACACCACCGAGTTGGAGATGATCTGGTTACTTACTGCCACCTGCAGTGTCACCAGACCTGTGTCGTGTGCTGCAGAGCAAGAGGATGATGAGAATTAATAACATGAAGTAAACGTCATGTCACTATTACGTGGTCAGTTTTGTACTGGACCATTTTTACCATGTGAGGCGGCTGTTGGTATGAATGAAAATGATCATTAAAACACATTCTTCTGTTTGATTGACATACAGCAGCTTTTTATACAAGACATAAAGCCACAGCCTAACATTGATTTTTATATTCATTGTTTGTGCGGTGGAAGGTAATGATAACGCCGGATCCATAAAACATCCTATTGTCGGATCACGCAATACTAATGACCACAAATCATCCTAACCTCCCACCCTGGAAACCGAAACATAGAAACCACAAACAAATGTGATGGGTAAACCTCCTCATGAACATCCCGTCCCTCCTCTGACTTACCTGGGCAGTAGCAGCGCAGCACCCCGGGTTGGATGAGAGAGGCCGGCACTGAGATCTGGTCAAACAGGCAGCTGTAGTTTGAGCTGACTTCCTGCCAGGGCCCAGTGATCAGCACCTTAACGCCGCCCTAGAAAAACAAGACAGGCGGATGCAACTCTTAACAGAAGCGGCAAGTCGGGTTCAAGTGTCTCTACTGAAATTAAATGCTGTTAGCCTGCCACCTAGTGTGCAAAGACATGAACGACAAGGAAGTGCAAATAACCCTGCTGCCGCTCTCTGCTGCCACCACGTGGAGAACCAACGTAAGTTCACTACAGCTATTTTATTTTAACAACTCAGCCAATGCCGACGATGAAATATTGTGCTGCCCTCTAGAGGTTATATGAGGGTATTACGACTGAGTCCATAATTCTTATATAAGACACAGTACAGTAATGGGAATGTATGTGCGATATATGAAAGAGATTTGTTTTTATTGTCAAATGCTTTAGAGAGAAATTGTTGAAACTCTAACTTTGTTGATAAAGCTGCATTTTTGTCTGCTTACATGACGTCTCTCATCTGTTTGACATGAACAAAAATTGTGATAACATCACAATTTTTGTGTCCAGACAGATCTGCTGAAAAGCATCAACTCTGGTGACACACGATGAGTGAAAGCACAGAAGTTGACTCTTTGATGGCTGTCAGAATATCAATACATAGAACAAACAAAAAGTACATACATTTGAAACAATTTTATATTCTAAGAGATGAATTCATTTCAGACTGCTGAAATTTCTATCTAAAAAGGATATTATGATTCTCAACTAGATCCTTTTTAGTAGCCATTATGATATTCCTTACTTGGAAAAATGTACAATATGAACGCAAACACAAAATGTAAAAAATCTTCCTGGATTTATCAACATTTAAAAATCAAATATCATTTGATTAATCTGATTTTAGGATAGATTATTACGTTTTTGCATATTTACCAAAAAGTGCACGCTCCTCAAAAACCTCCGCACTAATATTAACTGTAAAACCAAACCAAGATAAGGAAAAGGTAACATTACAGTTCTAGGGGGCATTACTTGCCTGTCAAGTAGTTTTTAGTGAACCCCCTCCGCTACCCTCCCTAACTTTATTGATAACATAACAAACAAATGAGCCCTTTTGCTGTAAGAGTTCAAAGTCTTGATTTGAGTTTCTAAAACCAGACTTACTGACCATAAATCACAAACTGAATCACTCCAAACTAACTTGAATTAAGGTAAATGCATTTAATTAACTCTTTAGAATCTAATGGAAATTATATAAAGACAGTATAGTTATGAATTCTTATAATTTATTTACATTTCATATATAAATCCCTCAAGTGTTTATTGAAATGTACAATGTGTGATGTCTGGTCCCCAGAGACATTGTAATGGGTGCATACAACCCATATTTACAAAAAAGTGAACAACTTACTAACACCGTGTCGTCGGCCTCAGTTGTGTTTAATGTGGAACTTACTAGGGACTGTACAGCCCCTACACATTTTGATAGTTTGACTATTACATATCCAAATTGGCACTAGTACCTTCCTATTTGGACTAATTTACACAGAGGGGAGCAGTTGGCAGGTCCTGGTCACGGAGGGAGTAGTGGTTCAAAGGGGACCACAAACTGAATCACTGCAAACTAACTTGAATTTAGGTAAATGCATTTAATTAACTTATAGTTAGTATAGTTAGCAACTGAAATCCCTTCGAACCAATCCGCATGCATATGAAATGAGAAAGAGCACAGTCACTCACCTCGGGGTAGGACCACTCGGGGGAGTAGTCAGTGACCATGAAGAGCCGCCCTGTGGCCTGAAGCATCCCCAGAGCCCCCTGGGCCACGGCTGCAGAAACCACCTCTGCTACATTCATGTAGGACAACGAGCCTGGCTCTCCCGCGTTCCCCCCAGCTCCGGCCCCTGCGCTCAGAGACTGGGGGCTGCAGCAGGGTTGGAGGCAGAGCTCCGTGGGGCTGTAGCCAGAGCCCCTGGCCCCTCCATCTTCCTGGCCTTGCTGAGGAGCCCCACCCCCTGCGTTCTGACTATTGGAGCTGTGGGATGTGACTAGCTGGTGAGCGTACAGAGCCCCTCCGGCTGACATGGTGGCTCCACTGCCATCCACTGAGATGAAGTCATTGATGAGGTCAGAGAACTGGTTACCAAAAGAGATGTCGAAGTGATCCAGACTGATCTCCATGCCCGTCCCTCCAGCTCCCCCGTTACTGGCCGCTCCTCCGAGGCCTTGGTGGCCCCCGACAGCGTTGTAGAGACCCGGGACCATGCTCGTCCCTTGGAGGAGAGGCTGTAGCTGCTGCTGGGAGCGGTTGCCGCCGTCGCCGTTGCCGTTATGGATCGCTACTCCGTCTCCTGCACCTCCAGTCCCTCCTCCACCACCATCCGAGCCCTGTTGCAGGTAGTGCTCCGCGCCCTCTCCGTTTCCCGCCCCACAGGCCTGGATGTGGTCTACTGGCTTGAGTAGATTCTCAGTTGCATTCTCAGTGACTCCAGCCTGAGCTGAACTCACACTGCCTTGTTGCTCAAGACCCACCACCTCCTCGTGCGGAGCGCCCAGTCCAGGAAAGCCCCCCTGGTACTGTAGCAGCTGCAGAGAGCCAGCCTGGCCAGGCCCCTCTGTGGGTGAGCCTCCATTACAGTTGGCCCTGTGCTGGTTCTGGTGGGCCTGGTGGGCCTGGTGCGCTTGGTGATGGTGGTGGAGGTGTCCGTTGCTGCCGGGGGAGTCCGTCTTCACCACCTGCAGCCCCATGTAAGCGCCAGAGTCGTGGGTGTTGTGCTCCATCAAATGTGATTTCTGGCCCATGCCGGGCCTCCCCTGCTGAGCCTGGCCGCTCTGAGAGGAGTCCTGGAGGAAGAAGCTGGGGGAGCGGTTCTGGTGTTGCATGTGAGTACTGGACATGGCCTGGCCGTAGCTCACTGCGGTAGCGCTGGAAGTGTAGTCCTGCTTGGCATCTATAGCACTGAAATCCATCTGTTCGAGCGTGGTGCTGGGACTCAGACCCCCACCAGAAGGCAGTAGGGATCCTGCTGCTGTCAGAGTCAGGCTGCCATGGCCTGAACCAGCACCAGACGACACAGACACCCCGCTGCCACAGTTCACCACCGGCGCCACCTGGTAGCCGCTCTCTTTGGCCAGCTGCTGCTCAAATGACGTGTCTTCTATCTTGATGTTCTTCACCAAAGCCGAGCTGAAGGCGTAGCCGTTATCTGACATGGTGGGGGAGCGCTGCAGACTGCCGTTGGTGCAACTGCTTCCACCGGAGGAGGATGACGTCGAGGAAGAGTTTCCCTCCGTCTTCATTGCACTCCCTCCATAGGTCTGGCCCTGCTTGGGGTTGTTCAGGAAGCAGTCGGGGTCAAAGTTCATATTGGTCTCAGGGATCTTGATGCTTCCAGCGTCCAGACTGCTGGAGAGCACCAGTTCCTCTGACACCCCGGCAGAAGACAGCATGGACAGACTGTCTCCCGCCACGGCGCTCCCAGGTTCCCCTCCTGCTCCACCGGGGAAGGCAAATTTGTGACGGTCAGACGCCACGGACAGCCCCAAGCCCTGGGAGGTGGCATCCGCACCCATCAGGTGGGTGTTGGGACCCCCGGTAGGAGACATGCTGTAAACGGGGCCCCAGTGACCTCAGACATAAAGACACCCTGGGACAGGCCAGACATGACAGAGGCCACGTGGCTCATCCCTGTCACCACGGGGCTGTCCGCCATGTCTGGGTCGCTGTTGAGGCCACTGCTGATGGACACAGGTGAGTTCTGCGTGGTGTCAGGAACCTCCACCTGGTTGGTGGACGACACCTCCGTGCTGTTCTGGTGCAGCAGGACCGGCTTGTGGACTTTGCCGTTGCGTTTCTCCCTGGCGCTCCCGCCTCCCCCGGAGCTCTTCCCCCCGCCATGGGCGCTGTGCTCGGTCTTCCCCTCTGACACGTCGTTGTTCTGCACCTCAGAGTGAGCAGTGCTGTAGCCACCCGAGCGGGGGTCCACCTTTGGGGAGATTATGCGGTGTTTGGCGCTGTTGCATTTGTGGTGCACACTGCTCCCTGCACCTGTATGGGGACAAAGACAGAGGAAGAGATTGGGGGTTTGGATGGGTGCCGGGGTACACAGCGGGGAGAGAGACATTTTCCAAACACATCCCCTAGGAATTGGGCGATACTGCTGCAGACAAAGAGGGATGCACTGTTTTTATTTCATTTATCATTTGGTGAGAGACGGTTTTCTGTTAGCATACAGTGAGTAAGACAAATCGAAAGTGATGCCGCGAATGGGGGTCATCCAGACTCTTTTTGTTTAGGTAATTAGCAAACCACCGCTCTAGATTACTGGGACTATTTTGAGTGACAGCCTCTAGTTTTTGAGCATTTGACATTCTGACTAGCATAACATTTGGGAACAGCTGGACTCTCCACATTGTTATCAGTAAACAGAAATAATAAGCCAATGACCCAGAAACTCAATTTAACTGAAAATAATCGACCGATAAAAGACCTCAACCACCAACCCCTGATCTACCATATAACACACAGTCATAACGACATCTCCACGGCCTTTTCTTCCCCTCTTCCCCGCAGAATTGTCCAGTTCTCTCTGGAGAACAAACCCCCTCCCACCCACTAGCCCTTACCCAGGGTGCCCGTGCAGAGGCAGTTGTGAGTCCGGGGAGGTGGCTTAGTTTGGTGGCTGTCCAGAATCTGTTGCACTAGCTGCTCCACTGAGAAGCCAGAGCTGCTGTTCCCATTGCTGCAAGTCCACTTGATGCCATGAACTGCCGGGAGAGAGGAGGAGACAGAGATGTCAGCCAGCCCAACAGACCACCAGCCACGCCAACCCCCCGCCCCACCGTCTGCCCTCCCTGTTGTACCTGCCAGTGTGCATCACGGTGCTCACCGGTCACCTCTCCATAATGTCAAAGTTACTGTAGTACGACGGAGGAATTCATGTTCCTGTTTGTCCCGAAGCGAAAACAAACAACCCACTCACTGGCTGCAGTTAAATGCCATGTGAGTATTAGAATTTGAACGGCACTGGTTGTGATTACGCATCACTCTCCATCACGCCGCCTTATTATTTTAAAGTTCATAATAACCGTAAACTCTAACATGTTTCTCTGCGTGTCTTTGCTTGGTCCACGATGGAACAGATGCGTTGGTCCGTCTCCTCGCCTGTGAGCGTTCTGTCCTGCATTTCTGATTCTCTGTTTGCATCTCGCCCTCCCACACACAAGGTGACACCAACGCCGATCCTTCCCCCGTCCACTGTCACCTCGACCTATGCCTCTGACAGGGAAAGCCATCGCCTAGCTGCAGCTGCCGGAGCTGCTGAATTTGAGGCTTTCTCCGGCGAAGCCTCGCTCTCTGCCTCGCTAGCCACTCCTAAAACCTGGGAGATGCCACCGAGTGCTGCTGTGCTCGGCCTCTCAACAGGGGAAAAGGGCCGTATTGGAGGAGTCAAGCTAATTTAGACTATCAAACAATACTAAACCTGCTTTAATCCAAGCTCAGTTCCCTTGCAGTACCTCCGTATAAAAAGGGAGGCAGGTTGAGAAAACAGCAAAGATGTGCTGAGTGCATGTCTGTTTGCTAATGAGATAAAAGGAGATGAAGACAGCGAGACAGAGATAGTCGAGGTGATGGGAAAGAACGCTGGGAAACGTGTGATAGGGGTTTAACTTGAAAGCTTCGGGATCCTTTGGCAGCTTAGAAGCTGGTCACCGGCAGATGTCAGTAGCGCTGCTGTGATCAAACTGAGATCATACAAGTTGTTTACACAGATTATCGGAACACAAACAGGATTTGTTTCTGACCTATCGCGAAGTCAGATTCGGTCAGCCATTAATCTAGCGAGGGAGACAAAATTGAATAAAAGTGTGACGGGAAAGTTTCATCTAACGCCACTGAAATTAGCACAGACCGCTCACCTCCTGACAGTCACGCAAACTATACAGAGAGGATAGAGCCACAGGTAGACTAAAAATGCTGTCATGACTCCCCCCTCCGTGGCGACGCCTTAAGGCCTTAAGGCCTTGGGACAGAAGAACGTCATTCTGCTGATGTGACTAAGAAAGGGTGACAGATCAACAGTGAGAGCCTAATGCAACAGCTTACATCCACCACGTACCGCCATCCCCGTTTGTCCAAACAATTTCATCTCCCCTCCGCCCTGATCCCTTGTGCCAGAATTGCCTCAGCCTGTTTTCAATTTAGACGGGTCGTCAACCCCCGCAGGCGTGGGGGGAGGGGGGGGGGGGGGGGGTTGTTGACGTACAGTTACAGCCGCGTCCGCCTGTCCGCTCTTCTCACTGAGGGTTAGGTTCCAAAGCAGACATGACAGCAACAGAGCGCCACCGGGATTAACAGCAGAGGCACCAAACAGCAAACCCCCGGACGCATCATCGTCCCGATGACTGCGTCCTGTCGCGAGCAGCGCCGCACAGCCGCAATGAATAGACGCACAGCGCGTGTCCCACACCTCGTGGCCTCCCCGTCCCGTCGGACAGTTTCACATGATGCCCCGGCCTGCTCTCCACTGGCGCCGTCCGTCCGGCCTGCAGGGGGGCCCGCCGTCTGTTTGTTAGAGCCGCTCATGCGCTCATCTGTCAGCGGGCCAGGGGCATCGCCGCCGAGGGCGTTGCGTGTTTAGAGCATCAGAGTGAATCAAGCCGGCTGCCTTGTCTTTGGAACTGTAGCGTGACTGAGTTGTGATGCCGCTCTCTTATTCCACCCCCCCTCCTCCTCTTTCTCATCAAACACCCCAGGCCGTCGAGGAGCACAAGGTCAGACGAGGCCATGTCTCACACGGCTTCTATTTGAACTGTTGTGTGCGAGCCACTGTGCATGTTAAAAGTTTCTGCCACTGAGCCCACGAGTGTGTGTGTATGTGTGTGTGTGTTTTTGTCGTTGGGAGACAGAATAAGCTCTACTGATCCATGAAATCCACATTTTCCTTTGTTGTTTTTTTGTATCATTAGAAGTGTCAAATGGTTTACGCACTGAAATATCGTGAAGAGAATAACAAAAGGGAAGAGCAAGATGGAAGAGGGCAATTATATTGGAAAGGTTGCTGAAAAAAGAACTATTTGACTTTAGAAAAAAAGGCTTGTGTGCTGAGAAAAATCAGTGGTGTAGGAACCATCATCATTATATGACAACAATTACCTCACAGACAGCGACACAGCATGTGACCCAGTGTCGAACACACTGTTCTGAACCCTCCTGCAATCCTGCATTCTCAACTCAAAGCTCCAACTACAAAGTCTGAAGGTTTTGCACACTTCTGATAAAGAAAATATAACTGTGCACTTCTAGTTTGTCTATCCAACCTTGGAGGAATACAGGAAGTATGCTCTGATGTGTTCCTAACATCTACGTGCAATGCAACAAAACATATCTGCTAATGGATGCAAGTTGGGTTTTTTAAGATATGGGCCAATCTAGGAAGAAATAGACTGTGAGGAATGAATGTATAATTTAAGATTAAATAATACATAGATAATACAGCATGACTGTGACTCCCTATATTTAGATCAAAACCACTCAAAACCACTAGATGGCAATGTTGCTGTATCCCTGGGCTTGTGTTGATATACTGGATGTTCTATCAGACCAGGGAGAGAGAACGAGGGGAGAAGAAAGATAGAAAGCAAAGACAGAAAACAGGAGAGTTTTTTTTGCTCTTTATGTAGCACCCTCATGTAGCCTGACAGCTAGAAGGCATCTCACACTCACCCTCTTTGTCCCAACAACTCCCAAAGTTAATGACGTTACGCATTACTGCAAATGGTGCTTGGTTTTTACATTAAGCCACGGAAATAATGAATACAGTAGAGTAGGCCGTTGTCGTTCAGTGGCTGTCCTGAGGTGAGGCTTATGTTAAAATATGTACTAAAACTGATAGCAGGCAGAGCAGCGAGGAGGATAACAACATAGCCGAGACCACAGTGATGGCGGTCTGGTCTGCCTTGTCAGTATGCAGCCGGCATGCGCGTGTGCTTGTAAAGCTGCTGACACGTTCCTCTTTAACTGGTCACATCTGCAATAATTGGCCATCGGAATATCAGTCACAGGCCCGCTGGCCCCTGCCAGGCACACCCGAATCACAGCGTGGTTGTTAAAGGTATCTCAACAGCTGATTTTCCATGTCCCAGAAGGTTCCCATTTGGCTATCGTCATTATCATCATCAGACAAACCCTGACTTTTTCCCAAAACATCGCCTCAATCCTTTGGGGAGGTCTAGAGGCCCGTATAAAAACATATAGTGCACTTCTCAGAGCATTAGTAGAGCTGATAACAACAGGGAGGGATCAATCCAGCGAAAGGGGGAGAGAGAGCCAGAGAAGGGGTGGACGGGGTATTTCTGGTGAGTCAGACATTCTTGCTCCCACGCACTAACGTGAATCAATAACCAGCTCGCTGCCCACCTCTTGCCTCGTCTTCCTTTCCTCGGCCGGAGAGGATGCACACTCTTAGCCGGGCCAGAGTGGTGCCAGAGGTCTAGAGGAAGAAGCTGAACTTTGACCCGTAACTTGCAGACGGCTCCAGGAGGAGCGCAGACACGCAACAGAGTAGGAGCACTGGCCGAAGATGCTATCTGACCGCGGTGCTGAGGGCACTCGGTGTGCCCGCCATCAGCAAATAGGACATGACATCAAATCCTCAGACAATAACAACAACGACGACGACAACTGTGTTGAGTCCTTCCATGCAGGCCTTTTAGAGGAGACATCA